AAGAAGAAAGATTATACATGACATTTAATAATTATTTTGCAATTCATGGATTATAATATCGTGAAATAAACTTAATTGAACTATTCAAATATTTCAATGATTTCCTAATAGACTACAAGATTCATTTTGAATGTGAATTAAATCCTAAATGAGTTTCAACACAAAGAACTGAATCACAATACATTTTCGACATATTACAAAAAACATTTAAAAAGTATGTGCATTTCTGCATACTCCACAACCCAATGCAAACTCCTCACCAGTCATAGGATGCTTAACATGCAGTGGACATTCGTCACCTTCTAGTTGGACAGCTCGAGGACCTGGAAACAAAAAACATCCTCAATGATAATAATAATAATAATAATATTTATTGATCCTAGAAACACAAAAAAAAAATAAATAAACAAATCGTACCTATATGGAATAAAATGGAAGACGAACAGTTAAACCAGAATTAATGGAAATGACAGAGATTTCAATTGATAAAATATAATTCTGAACAGTTCCCTATTCTCACTGAGAACATCGTAAGTGCTATCTTCAGAAATGAATGGTCTGCAACAATATACAGGGTTTTTGGTAATTCGATACATTCCTTTGGAGATGTGATAGGGAAGGTGATAGGGAGTGAATTTAACCCTAATATGCATTTTGCAAAAGTAAATAGTGTTTGAGATATTTACATTCTTCTGTTCTATTATATTTCTACCTTTGGAATAAACTATAATGATACACTCGTAGGTTCTCATTTGCATTTAATCAAAAGATATGAACGGAGAGTACAGTACAACACATGAATCCTTCACGCGGGAGCATACATGACAGATAACCCTAAGGTTAGACAGTTGACATATATAACTAAGGATCTTAGATCATAAAGAACACAATGGACCTTAAATCATTAAATACACAACACTCTTCCCCACTTAAAGATCAAGACGTTCAGGGGGTCTTACAGTACGAACACTACGTCTAAGAATGGGTGCAACGGCTGTAAGTCTTGGAGAATTTGTTAATTCAGTTTGAACGCTAGTAGAAGGTTCAGAAACTTCCTCTACAATAGAGTTAGGCTCGGGTATAGGCTCAGGCACCTTTTTGATAACTGGAAGAGGCATAGTTGAAGCTGTATTAGGTCTTGGTACATTATACTGTATTTGTGAATTACATTTACGCATATGATTCTCATGTACAAACTTAATACTTTCATTTATTTTGACTAAATAAGTATTCACACTTATTACCTTCACAACTTCACCTATGACCCATTTAATATCATTATCTCTAGTTTTAATGAACACTTTTTCATTAACTGTATAAGTCAACATCTTAGGTACTACCACACTCTTAGACTGACTATAACGAGTAGTATTTTGACCAAACACTGGTTTTAATAAGTCAAGCCTAGTTCTAGGTTTATTTTTAAATATCATCTCAGCTGGAGTCAATCCAGTAACAGTTGTAGGAGTGTTACGATATGTGAACAAAAAATGACTCAGCTTTTGCGACATTGACAATGTGTTTTTCCCATTTTCTTCCTCGAATAGTAAACGCACTAAAGATTTTTTTATAGTTTGCACTCCTCTTTCGGCTAATCCGTTGGACTGAGGGTGATACGGAGGACTTTTCACTGGGTCAATACCATTTCTCTGACAAAAACTGACAAACTCTTCCGAATTAAATGGTGGACCATTGTCGCTAACAATTCGGTTTGGAAGACCAAAAGTTGAGAAACTTTGTTTCAATTTATCAATTGTTTGACTCGCATTTGTTGAATTATTCATGATGTACACATCTATCCATTTAGAATAACTATCCAAAATAATTAAAAATATAAAATTATTCTTATGAAAGAAATCTATGTGTATTCTTGACCAAAAAGTATTAGATTTAGGCCATGACAGTAAAGATGAATCTGAATTCAAATTTTGTGTTGACTGACAAGTCACACAATTTCCAATGAACTTTTCTAAATCTAGTGAAATATTCGGCCACCAAATTGAACTCCGTGCAAGCATCTTTGATCTTACAATGCCAATATGATTTTCGTGTAACAATTCCAAGATTTGTTCTCTAAGGCACAAGGGTATCACTACACAATTACCCCAAATCAAACATCCAGATTCTACAGTCAACTCACGACGTCTATTAAAGTATGGCTTAAAATTCAAATCCGACACTGAGTTTGGCCATCCACACATAGTAAGATTTATTACTTTTGATAAAATGATATCTTTTGCTGTATATTTGGCTATAGTTTCGAAAGATAAAGGTAAATAATCAGTATTATTAAATGAATTAACAAACAAAACATTTGAATCTAAAGGTAATGGCAACCGGGACAGGGCATCTGCATTTCCCATAAACTTACCCTTTCTATATTCAATACTATACTTATATGCAGACAAAAATATTGCCCATCTCACTAACCTTGCCACTGACATAGAAGGTAATGCCTTATTTGGATTAAATATTGTTTGGAGCGGCTGATGGTCAGTTAAAAGCACGAAACTTTGTCCATATAAATATTTATGGAATCGCTTGATGGCAAAAATAATAGCCAGCGCTTCACGTTCTAAGTTCGAGTAGTTCTTCTCAGAAGGGGACAATGTGCTTGAAGCGAATAAAACTGGACGATCTTCATTATTAATTCTGTGGCTTAGGACTGCTCCTACACCATATGCTGAAGCGTCACAGGCAACCACAATTGGTTTTGAAGGATCAAAATGCACCAATAATTGATTGTTAACAAGTAATTCCTTACTACGATTGAAAGCTTTGTTACAGTCTTCAGACCACACAAAAGGAACATTTTTTTCTTGAAGCTTGTACAAAGGTTTGATTTCAGAAGACAACATCGGTAAAAATTTGCTGTAAAAATTAAGTAATCCCAAATATGAGCGCAATTGAGTAATGTCCTTTGGTTCTGGGGCATTTACAATAGCTTCAACTTTCTGTGAAGATGGATGCAATCCATCCTTATCCACTCTATGTCCAAGATAATCTACTTCTGACTCGAATAGTTTACACTTAGTAAGGTTAATTTTCACATTAAACTTGGATAATCTCTCAAGGACTTCATAAAGGTTTCTCTGACAAGATTCTAAATCATCACCTTTGACCAGTATGTCATCTAAATAACATACAACATTTTTCAAATTGTTAAGGATTTTATCCATTACTAGCTGAAACAGACAGGGGGCACTAGTTATACCATAAGTTAACCTTGTAAATTTGAACAACCCAATATGTGTATTAATTGTCAAATACTCTTGACACCTATGATCAACCACTAATTGCTGATAAGCTCCAGATAAATCTAAAACACAAAATATTTTTCCACCTGACATACAAGACAAAATATCATTGATATTTGGTAGGGGATAATAATCTGGCTTCAGAACTTTATTTAAACTCACCTTAAAATCAACACATATGCGGATATCATTATTCTTTTTGGGAACAACAACTATTGGACTTGCCCAATTACTTTGAGTGACGGGAATCAAAATATTTGACTGGACCATTGACTTAATTTTTTTTTCCACAGGCTCTCTCAAAGCATATGGTAGAGAGTATGGCTTATGAAAAATTGGAGTTACACCATCTCTCAACTCTAGGCTAACACTATATTCTCTTATACATGAGCTTTCATTTTGGCTGAACACTGATGAAAATTTTGCTTTGACTTGATCTCTTATTTCAGACACATTTACTATGTTTGAGACTAGACAATTTTGTGATAAGAGATTTGCTCGCCAATTTGGACACAAAATATCCAACCAATCCCTACCCATAAGTGGTGTAAACTTTGTTGAACTCTGTATTATCAACAGTGGCAATATTGCACAATTTTTGTTCAATTGTACTTTCACCTGACTTTCTCCTACTACTGTTACGGATTGCCCTGTTATAACACTCAAATCGACTTTTACAGGTGACATGGGAGCTTTTGAAAACATTTCTTTAAATTGTATTTCAGAAATGACTGACCTGGCAGCACCACTGTCGACTTCCATTTGCAAAAACTGCCCATTTACAGACATACCTGCTTTTTCAGACAAATTCAACTTGTTACAAGACAAATGTGCTAAAAATTCCTCTTCTCTTTGCTCATCCTCTTCAAATGGTAACTGCTCTTCCACATTGTGTACCTTGCCTTTCTGCTTGCAAACAGTAGAAGTGTGGCCTCTTTTCTTACAAAAAAAACAGGTCCACTGTTCAGCAGGACAGGTAGCAGGATTGTGAATCCTACCACAGCGAAAACATGATTTCGACTTTGACATAACAGCACTGCTGCTTTTTCCACTTGAATTGACACTTGGCTTACTGGGTACATTTGACTTTCTATGACTTTGGACTTTGTTTATACTGCCTTCAGGTTGGAAGGATTTGACCTGCAACTCAGCCAACTCACAATTAGTTGCTATTGACACAGCTCTATCTATGGTCAAGTTAGTTTCTGAGAGTAAGCGCTTCTGTATGCTTTCAGAACGAAGCCCACACACCAATCTATCTCTCAGTGCGCGATTTAAGAATTCTGCAAAATTGCAAGAACGTGCCAACTCTTTCAACTCAACCACATACTCTGCAACTGATTGATTCGGCTTCTGGACACAATTGTTGAAATTGAATGTTTCTGCAATTTCTAACTTTGCTGGGTCAAAGTGGTTCTTCAACAGTCTCACTACTTCTTCAAACGGGACATCTTCCGGTTTTCTAGGGGACACAAGACTCTTCATGACATTGAATAAATCGGGGCCACCCAGAGTAATCAACATGGACAACTTTAGTTCATCACTCGTGACATTTACCTTGAACAAATGTTCTAATCTCTCTACATATGACGTAAAGTCATTTTTGTTCTTGAGATTGAATGGCTCGATGGTTCCTATTAGTGCCATGACTACTTAGCTGACACCGACGATACACAATACTTGTAGGAGGAATCAAAGAACGAAAACGAATGGACTACGTTTTCAGACAGGTCAATGAACTCTTCACGCCGACACAGCGTTATCCAGGTTATCTGTACTTTTGACGGACTGTTCATACACAAGACATATTAAACACAAACGACCAACTCGTCGCCAATATTATATTTCTACCTTTGGAATAAACTATAATGATACACTCGTAGGTTCTCATTTGCATTTAATCAAAAGATATGAACGGAGAGTACAGTACAACACATGAATCCTTCACGCGGGAGCATACATGACAGATAACCCTAAGGTTAGACAGTTGACATATATAACTAAGGATCTTAGATCATAAAGAACACAATGGACCTTAAATCATTAAATACACAACATGTTCATCTGTTTATTTATTCACAAACAAAAATCTGACTTTGAATTCACAATTTATCTATGATCTAGACTATTTCTGGAATTTTTCAATTCCTAACATAAGACCATAGTGTTGATCATGTATTCTAGTTGAAATGTGGAAAAAATGTAGAGCAGATTTGTGGGAAACGAACTTTCAACCTTTTGGAGGAAAACAGAAAAAATTAAATCTCAAAATCTATTACGTTTTGCATGATGCATATTAGGGTTCAATTTACTAATTACTACCTCCTCTATCACATCTCCAGAGGAATGTATCGAATTACCAGTAACCCTGTATATTCAGATTGAACTTAATTAATATCCCTGTTTTATTCGCCAGCGGTTTTTGTAAATCACTAAAGATTGGGATAGTTCGCCATTTTGCTGATGTGATGATGAAATTTTCAACAATTCCATTGTTTACTAGTCGTTCAGCTTTCACATGCCGCGAAAATTAATGAATCCAGCTGAATATAGTGCGTACCCATTGTGGATGGGTGGATAAGAGAGGTTGGATTTTTTACTACTATGGATAATATTTGTGAAAATAGATCAAATATCATAGTCTCAAAAAGTATTCGCGTTTTTTATATTCCCACCCAGTTTCAGTATTATAGTTAATTGAGATCCTAAATGAGTTTACCTGCTGGACAACTTGGTAATTCGTTCTTTGGTAGATTGGTTACTCTCTGAAAATCGTCGTGGCACGGATTACAGAAATGGGTCGTCCCGAAGCAGAAGAATACAGCGACAGAGCAACAGTATCGGCATTTGTATTCCAAAAAGTCAGTACCGTGTTTTGGACACATTTGAGCCCTTGCAACATCTGAACAAGCTCCACAAACCAGTTCCTTTGGATCATAGTTTTCTCCCACCTCAGCATCACATCTGGCTTCGCCACCATAATATGCCTGAAATTAGAGATAATAATAAAAATGATTTTTGTAGGACAGAGCGAGAGCCGCTTTCTAATTGAAAATTTGTTACCCCCGAAGTGAACCTGTGGTTATAGAGTTCTTGGGAATACTTCCATTGAAAACGAGTTCCAACGCACGGCTTCGCCGTTCTATTGACGAATGTTAACGACAAAGAGGGATGTGCTGACCTGTCAAGTTCGTCTAACTGGTATTGCTAGTGATGGAATTATAGCAGATATTTCTGAGGAACATTTCCCATGGAAATGTAATGATTCGATAAACTACCTGTATAACGGCCTGTTTATCGATATTTGATTGACTATGTGCTAAGGCTCAATTTCGTGTCAAATTGTTTCTCATTCTGTGAGTTTACTGTAATTGGCATCTCAAGTATCTGCTAATTTAGCTATGAGATGAAAGTAAAAGTTCAGAATTCAACTAACACCTGATTTTGACGCTGACAACGTATCTAATTATTATAAATAATTGTCAAAATTAGTCATAGAATTATTAGATTTCTGGAGTAATGTTTTCTGTAAAATTTGTATATCGCTACTTCAAAGTTGGGAACTAACTCCCCAGAAGTCGAAACTTGTGCGGGGTTAGGAAGAGCGGGACCTACAGCTTATAGTAGAATATGAACCACTTCTAGGGCATCGAGGTGCTGCCAGGATTACAACCATGAATCCTTTATTTTGGAGAAAAATGCTCAGACGATAGCCGGATTCGAACCGACAGTATCTTCGCATCGTGAACGGCTATCTAGCGAATTTTAGCGCATAGACAAACTCGGCCACGGCGATGAAGACATGGAGTTCATAGAAGATTCTTATTTTAATCGCCTCATCTTAGATGTTCAACAAATTGTAATTCAATGTTCGACTAGACAAATAGCTAGGCATTTTCTCAAAAATGGGTGACATTATCAAATGTCTCAAATGAGAAAGAGTGTTGCACAAAAATTAGTCATTCAAACTATCCCTTGATAAGCCACCCCTCAGCACATACCATCAACTTTTTTTTTAATTACACCCATATATTTTTATGGCATGTTTGAGTAGCCTATTAGCTTACGAACACAATGATATATTACACTCTCCATGAATACGCCCGAGATAATGTCAAATCAATCAACAACTCACAAAAGCATATCATTTAAGGAATTTCGTTTACCATCATTATAAGTCTAAAGAAAGAATCAGACGACTGATAAATTCATTCATTTTGTAGACGAAACCCGCTCGAAAACCCGTGTAATTTTTTTATTACTATTGAGTTATGCTTATATGTTCGTAGGTATATGTAGATGTTAAAACCCGTGTAATTTTTCTATTACTATTGGGTTTTGTTTATAGGTTCGTAGGTATATGAAGATTTCATAACGCAGAACTCGAGAGGAATTTATTCCTGGGAACAAAATTTTCATTCTCTAAGCTCTTCATAAGAGAGAATACTGTTGTGGTTATAAGATGATTAAAAAATACTTTTTTTTCTGTGACGGGAAAAAAGTTTGGCATTTCATCCCTGTTGGCAGGTTATAAAATGTCACTTTTCATAAATTACTTTTTTCCCGTGGGAAAAAAGTGAGTACTTCTTTCCCGGATATATTTCACATATATATACACTTTTGATGGCTTTTGTTGTGCTGTAGTTCCGAAAAATGAGTCAATAATACCGTCTCCGAGAAAGAACTGCAAGTCCTTTTATCATCCATTCGACTTCGCTGTTACGTACATTGCTAAATAACCACTGAATTCGCAATTTCTTGAAATAAAATCACAAAATTAGACTGACAGAAGTGACATCAGATATTTGATTACTTCAAATGAATGATAAAGATGCCTACAACGCGGTGTCCCTACTGTTAAAAACTTAAAATTTCACGTCGATAATTTTCAGATATCAAAATAATGTAATATCTTCTCAATATTGATTCGTTATTTCTTCTGTCACAGAAAAAAATAGTGTATTATACACGGGAAAAATATTATATTTTAGCTCACGGTTTGTTGTCTCCCTCCGCTACGCGTCGGGAGACAACACAACCTGGAGCCCGAATTTAAGTTCCAAAGAAGGGCTGATGGCTTGATCATTCTACAGGAAAAAACAAAACTGGTTAAACATCGTTCCATTTTATTTTGGATCGAAGTGTGAACCCTTCTCAACCCAATGGTTTTAGATTCACGTCAAAACCTTTTTTTCAAAAGAAGATACAAGTGTTTTGTGAAAGTGTAAATTTTTTAAATTTGCAGAACACACATAAATTTAACAACTCGAAAAAACATCTAAGAATTGATATCACTTATTTCCAATCCGTATTTTAGCACTCACCAGAAAATGCAAACCTCAATTATTATAAACAAACGAATAGCAGACCTCCTAGATGTAGTCAATAATTAGTATGCCCTACTCGAACTTGAATTACAGCATTCAAACGCACTGGCATAGAGTTGATCAAATTCCTCAAGCAGTCTTGAGGAATTATCTCAATTTTTTCTTGAAGGGTGAGTCGAAGCTCTTGAATTGTCTCTGACAAGGCCGGACGAAGACAAATGAGCCTCTGGAGTACATGCCCAAAGATGCTCTATATAGGTTCTGAATAGCCTACTATAGATGAAAATTGTAAAAATGCATACTTTCTTGAAACACTTGTATCTTCTCTTTGAAAGAAGATATTGACATGAATCAAGAACAATTGTGTTAAGAAAGGACGAAAAGGGATCACACTTCAATCCAGAACATGATGAAGCAGAAGGTTGGATAATGGTTCTGAGTTATTGTTTAAAATATCCATTTTTTCTCAAAACACGTTTATCTCTTTTCAAACAAGAATATATTGACGTGATTCAAAAACCATTGTGTTGAGCAGGGATCAATCAAACCTTTGGAATAGAGCATTGAGAAGTTGTGGTGAAAGAGTAACTTTTGTTTTTTTCTTGTATACTGATCAAGCATGGATCAAGCCATCACCTTTTTCAAAATTTCAAGTTCAAGCATACATTCTGAAACATAAATCCAATGAGATTTGGTCGAAATTTCATCAGAATCGGACAAGAATTAAAAAAGGTACATGGCGATCAATTTTGCTAAATTTTTTCTGACCGTTTTTGCCGGTGAGTATAGCTTCGAAGATGAACTACTCACTTTTTTACATTTATAACATACATAGTATGCATATCTATCCATAGCATAACACGCAGGATCATTGTAGAAACGGGCTCCTGGTGCAACAACAGCATCCACTGTATGCAAACCTTCATATTCCAATCTCATCTGTGCTTTTCGACGAACATCTTTGTAAAGATCCAAAACTGGAGCCAGGATTTCATTCAACATCTCGTGAATCATGTCATCCTTCAATAGAAAATTAATAATAACTATTATATTTTCGAAACGAATATGCACAGAGCACTCACTTTACAAATTGGACAAAGTTTGAAAGAGAAAGTTATTCTTGGGCCTGGCCATCTCTTCATCAACACTGCCTTACAACAATGCAAGTGGAAGACATGTCCACATCTCAGCTGAAAATAATTTACATTGAATAATACATTTTTATTCAGTTTATAGAACAGTTGAATTGTTTAATGCACGACCGGGCGTGAAGTAGCACTTTACCGTACAGTTTTGCTGGCGTAAAGTGGCACTTTAGCGCTCGTCGACTTTTTTTATCGCCCGACGAATAGGTAACTCGTAATATGAGCATTCCTGTATGATTCAGGATATCTATGTTTCAGTTGTGATGGTTCATTGATATTTTTGAGCTGCAAAATATGATCGAACCCGTCATCTGTGATGACATAAATTAACAGCAAATAATAGTGTACTCCTATCACGAAAAAGTTATTGAGTAACCATGGTAACGTTGATTTGATCAATGATATTCATCACTGGAACCATGAAGTATTTTTATCGTGCTTGAGAGGTGAAGAGGTATTCACATTGAAAAATCAAATATACTGGTTGTGCATTAAATGTTGTATATATTTCGGGCATAACTTGCTTTTATGAACGTAGGCGTGTTATTATTTTATTGTTAACCCAGCGGCTGTGTGGTGGAAAATCATTACCATTATCAGAAGTGTGTGGTTTTTTATATTTCTCAATGTTCCAAATTATAGCATATCGTAACTATCATAATCTTCAATAACATCAATATCACCTATCAAAAACAATAAATCACAATTTTATTAGGTTTGTGAGAAAACGACATGAATGTATTGACAAATCATACTTCTATAGTAATTTTGTTCAAAATCCAACTTATAAAAATATGAAAAGTACCTACGTTTCAAAGTTTACAATGAACCGAAGTGATTTTTCGATAGTCAATGATGTGATGAAAATTATAAAAGTAAGAAAAATCGAAAAATACTGACTCAGAAATCAGACAATTTCTGGGATATTAACATAAATAACATAGTACCTTTATGATTATTCGAATCCTGATAAATTAGTGTTCATGAATTCGTATTTACTATATGGTGTTGATTTTCAAACTTGACAGTCATTTACATAATAATGCCATTTTTATAGAACGTGTTGAGAGATTCAAGGTCAAAGACTAAGCACCACAGCCAACAGGTCCTCTTAACAGCGTTTTCGGATGAGATATGTACATCATTTTTCAATACTCATAATTGTTCAGCACAGTTTGAACTGATTATGTTTCCTAAATTAAAAATTAATATTCTTTTTTGCATATACTTATATATTATTATATAATATGTCAACTTGATGATCTGATATGTCCTTTAAATATTACAATGCATCATGAACGTACATATCGTGTCTTCACTAGAGCCAATATTGCATTATTGAGCTTTCTCAACAGGGTTAACCCGACAAATTTCTGGACTTATATTGTGAAGCAGTACATTGCAGCCAAAGAATTGGTTAGAAAAACATTATCAAGACGTGTAGGTATATGAAAACAAATGAAAAAGTACCAGCAGGATTTCATAGCCTGGTGACGTAAAAAAATACATTTTGGTCATTTTAATTCAATATGATTCAAAGACAAATTCAATAACAAAAATACTGGTTGTGATACATGGTTAAAGAAATAATGAGAGGATCAAGGGAACAAGTTTTAGATAATATATCATAGGATGGAAAACCACCACTATGGATGGAAAAATGAAATAAAAGGCTGTTTTCATGTCTTCTATGTCAACTGATTGTATGTACTTCAGAAAAAACGTCGAAGCAACAAATATTACTACCTGCTGCTCGGAAATTGAGATTTGTTTGTGAATGAGATATATCAAAAGCTTATTTCCGATTCATATTTTATGTTATGTAAACATTTCGAATAAACTATTATTATTATTATTATTATTAATGTATCAGGAATGAATCTCACCTGAATCGCAGGTGCACATGATAGTGCCTCCGTGAAACAAATCATACACATATCATCCGAATCTTGTCTCAAACTACTATCACCTGAACAACCATGCAGACATGGTAGGCATTTCGTTTCGCCCAAAACTCCACCACACATATGGCCACAATTGAGAAATTTGCAACATGCAGTACGACCATATTCCTAAGGAAAAATATTGGATTAACAGCTTCAAATAATACGTATTCAGTTGAGGTCAACACACCTGACATTCATGATCTGCACAAACATTCCCGATAGCTAGTAAACCAGAATTTCCAGTGGTACCACAAAATCTGCATACACCACTTATGCCAACTGCCTTTGTACGAGTACCTCCTTCTCTAAATTCTATCAATGCTTTCAATGTCCTAGGATCTGCTAGGGCCAACAGCCAAAATAGTTTCGTTCTGCCACAGCCTTCATGTAATTCAACTTTTATAGCTTCTTCCTCTTCTTTGCAAACCTTATGAGTCAAGAAATTTGAAATTACTATAATTAATTTTCCATTTGACAAGAAATGTCAAGAGATGAAGGAAATCATTCATTATACTTATATATCAATCCTTAATGATAAATAATAATTATGATGAATGCTTCAAAATGTTGACAGAATTAAAAAATAGAATATGGTTGAATAGTAAGTCTGAAAATCCAGGGTTTCTATAAATGACTGCAACATATTGTAGTGGCTGTTGAAATACTCTTTCCTTATCTATGTCCCTTTGTGTAACAACCATGACAGCAATGATTGACATGTTGGAAATATGAATATGGTAGAATTATACTATTTTCCACTCGTTGCACTGGCTCGAACTTTTGCATACTCAATGATTTGTGTGTTTTCCAAAAGTTCAAAAATAATTCCAACACCTACCTCCTGTTCCTAGGTACGTACGATCACGCACGATATTCTTCGAAAATTATAGAAATTTCCTTTCGCGCTCCAAGAGATAAAAAATTGTATACATTCAATGCATAATTTCAATCCAATGAAAAACGATATCAGACCTCATATTTGAAAGGCGACAAATCAAATAAATATTTCAACAGATACTGTTTACTGTATTACAATCAATTATAGAATCCCCGTACCACACGTTTCATGAAAGGGTTGCGGAATATATCAGGATATACTGCCGATTTTTGCAAGTCCCAGAAATTCACTCAATTGTTTCGAAAAACCAGAAAATAAAACTAGTAGCATTCAAAATCGCAATGAGCTGAGTCAATAACGCGATATAATTTTATGGAAAACTATAAAAAGCACCATAATTCTTGAAATTGATTGAAGGGGCGAATATAACATGCTCTATCCATGTTATTATGGGTTCCGTCGGAAGTTGTGCCAACTTTGCTACCTCGAAATAACATCCTGGGTTTTACTCAATTTTCAGTTAAATACACCTACCCATTCTCACGATCATTAGAGTATTTGTTGAAGTCTAAATTCCCCCGAAAGCAGTTTCTCTCTTCATACATGTGTTATATTTTATTTTAACAAAATCACTTTGAATAGAAAACTACATTATGAGTAATATTAACTCGAATATTGTCAGACAGGATCAAATGAATCTGGAGAAAATTATTCTTAAAATTTGTTAGCCCGTATTTCACTTCGAATTTGAAACAAGTGTCATATATCATAGTGCATACCCAAAATGAACCGATTATTCGGCACCTGCTTTCCAGAGAACAAACTTTTTCAGCAATGTGCAGTGATTCAGTCATTAATATTGAATGTTGAACTATTCACTCAATTGAAGTATCCAGTAAATTTTTTATGAGATACTAGAAAAATGTCTTGCTAAATGAAATTTAAAATCTCCGATTTCCCAAGTACCATGTTCTCTTCATGATTCGATTCGTTTGAATACACTTCCATATACCCAGTATACCGGGAGTCTCAGATTTTTTCATACAGCCAATATCTCAGTAATGCTGCTTGAAAACAAAAGAAAATATTACACTTTCGTCAAACATAAAATGACTTTGGAGCCATTGTGTCAGAGTCAACTTCTGTCAAACTATCTTTGAGAAATCACCCCAACTTCATTTTTTCGAATTACACCCTCTACAGTTTTTGTCCAATGTGCAATTGACAGAATACTCATTAGAAGTAAACGTAAAAAGCACTGTCTAGTTCTAGTTGGATATGTACCTAAAAACTGACTTAAAGACGCGTGCACAAACATCTGTGAAAAAACTGACTGGAAGGAGCGTGAACGAACAACTGTTAAAATATAATAACAAAGATCTACACCTGATACTGTTTCCTTTGAATTTTGTAATTTTTGAAGTCGACGTTTGTCAAAATATCGTTGAAGTTAGGATGTATCGCAATTTATTTTATTTCAAGCAGTATAACTGAGATATTGGCTGTATGAAAAGATCTGGGACACCAGGTATATTTATGAAGATCTGGGAACATAGGGTGGAGTGTCTTATTAGTTTGCAGGGCTTTTATTCATGAACTTCTAACCTTTGTAACAAAATATCCTCAGGGGGAGTTTCAGGTCACGAAATGAGTCGTTATGGAAAGTATGTGGTTTTATTTTGCCAATCACCCAACCAACGTGGTTAAGTATAATGTGATATATGAAATCTGGAAGATGTACATAAGGCACCATTAAAATACGTGAAAAATATAAAGAGTAACTACTTCACCTGGCACTAAGTCGGTGCAAAACAACGCTTTATATAAAAGCAATATTCAAACACACTGTAACTAAGAGCTACCATCAATCACAAATGCTCACAAAAAGACGAGCTCGAACAAACGATACCAAGTGCCTTTTGCCTTAGCGCCACAAAAACAAGGGACGATCTATTTAAAGTTTTCCAAATGAACATTCTTCCTCCTTTTATTGGATTACCACGAAAACAATAGCACATCATAGGTAGGTAACTGGCACAAACAATGATTCCTCAGAAAATGCGATACTTATACAGGGCGTTCTGCTTCACCTTTATAGTCAATAATGTCCATTTCGTTCTAATGTATACCTGTCTTTGGTGGTTCCTAGTTTTCCTATGGAGATGAAGATATCTGTCACAATCTGCACATAAATTTCCGCAATGACTACATTGAACTACAGCCACAGTTTCTCCATCATCATGATTACCACAAGTCGGTCGTGGAGGGACAGGCTGGCCCTCTGGTTGGCTCCATTGACCTATTTTTTATATCGAAAAAGTAAGTTATGAGGTATGACAAGTTATCGAATTCATTAGAATGTTCTATACCTATACAAAAGTGACTTTCAAATTTCTATATTGGCTTGATTGAGTAGAAAATGGGCAGAGGCAGTAGGTGCCATAGGTAACATATTGTAATGATATTTCCCTTAGAGGGGCTCTAGAAATATCATCAGGAAGACAGAAGTACAACGATCAATGATTCCTACCTCTACCAGCATATTTTCGAACACTCAATATATGTCGCGGTAACAAATAACGTGACAGAAGATTCTGGAATGTTCTGGAAACAATCGATGGAACAATTAGAGATAGAGGTATTGTTCTAAGGTGCTTCTAGAACAAAAAGGAGGGTATGGAAGATCATTCGAGAACGTTCAAGAGACAAAGCCTACCAAGGGATCTCATATATAAGACGGACAACTGCAGTCAGTCAGTCAAGCAGCGAGTGTCAGAGAGACAGTCATATACCGCGTGATATAAATCATTTTACATAAATAGTAGTTATAAGTTCGATATCAATTAGTGTTTCTTAAGTTAAAATAAATCAGTCCGAAAATGAATAGTGTCGTGTTCGCTTCTGCACCCGAATAACGTAACAATATTTTCCAGTTATTTGTCTCAGAAATAAGAAGAACATTCATGAAGAAATGTGTCGAGAAAGTTTATCAACCTATGACAAAAAGTTTGAAGTATTATGTCATCACTTCATTAAAAGTGTCCTTATCTCTTTGGTTTCTATACAACCTACCCAACAACATAATAGAATCAATTTTTCAATAATATATTGAGATTGTCCAAAATATTATCTGATGCAAATTTTGAGGAACAAACCTGATGACAATCTTTCAACATGATCTTCATCCAAGACACAGAGCGATGCTAAAGCTAGCCACAATGTTGGTGTTCTTAAGCATGTGGATGGTACTCTCTGTTCATCGGAAAGATAGGTAAGATGTATGATATTCTCTGCTATAGCACCTTTAGTAATATTTGCCCAATTATCAGTCAATTTGCCCTGAAATGAATAATCGAAGCTCAATGAATAATAATATGACAGATAATTTTGTTCATCCAAATAGAAATCGAACAAATTTTGTACACTTACAGCAGCCATGTCTTTTATGAGTTGCACTATAACTTCGGCAAGTTTCTTACTGACTGAACCTCTTAGCCACCATCTTGCTCCTAGAGCATCTCTTGGTTGAATTGAAGTAGCCAAAGTTACAGTGTTGATTTCTTTCGGAGTTGTTCCGTTGCCAGTTTTACCCCTTACTTTCACTTGTAGAGTTAAAGATTTCGCAATGATACTCAGGAAAACGTCCAGTACTCCTAACCTGAGAAATATTTCAATTATATTATTTAGTCTAATAGTTCAGTTGACGTGATCGGAGATTTGCTATATGTGATTGAGCAAATATTACTTACTGATTAACCTCAAAATGTCCAGAGATGGAATCTTTATTAGATACTGACACGATGCTGAAATCTCTTGCAGGTAATTTTTTCACACCCACAACTTTCGCAAATGCCTCAGGTGATATTTCTGGTAACATTCTTCTCAACAAAGAGGTGACCTTGAATATAATTTTGTATTAATACATTTTTTGGTAATTATAAATCCTCACATACTTGTCTTTGCACTCTTGCACTTCCTGTATGTAGTAAAGTTAGGATATCTCCAAGTAACCCATATTGATGAGAAAGATAGGTTCGACCAACAGAGCTTCCAGACAGTGCCAATACCATGGATAGCATTTCAAAACAGTAGGTATCAGAATTTTTTGTTCCTTCCTGACTTTGGTTAGAGAAAGCTGAAGAAGTACATAGGTTTGATTCCCATTCTTCATGAACCCTTTCAGTTTCTTTTCTGATTGCTTGGACAATATGAACGATCACCTAGAACATATTATTTATAACTTGTTCAAATGTCATGGTAGATTTTAATGGATAAAAAAATATATATAAAAAAAGAAATTAAATTCAGGTGGCTTATTTCTTTGTTTATCTTTTCGTTTCCCTTTTTTTAAGTAATGTTTAGTCATCATCCTATGCATGTGAACCCGATGAGAGAAAAACTTTAATAATCAAAATCTAGTTTCCCGTTTACCAAATCGATCATGTAACCATCGTGAAACAAGAACTAATGTAGCATAACGATTTTTAAGAAACTTGAGCACCTTGTATCTAGGAAACTAATCGTTTCATATGCACTTTTTTCCTTATTCTGACCCAAAAATTCAATTTTCATTTCGATACTCGATATATTGGTTAATTATATTTTTATATCATTATACATCACGATTTATCTGATTTGAAGGATAATGTGAATTCTTAATTTCAGAGAATTTTAATTTTCATGTTTTCCTTACGGATGTTCAGCAATGTTCGAGATTAGATGCGAAAATGATATATGACCTTTCACTGGTGGGGAAAGCGTGTTCAAAAATGTTGAAGGAATAAAAGTGGCATAGAAATACTTTAGCGCATCAGATATTAATAGCTGTTAATAGTGTATGCGCTCCATGTTTTTCTGATAACCGAAAAATAATAATCTGCCGGTTTGCATGGTGGGAGTGGCTGTACGAAGGGATAGAGAATAGGCGAAAAAAATTTGGGCGCGTCAGATATTGAGAAGGGACGTTAAGTGAACTCTCAAATAGCTCCTATTCAAAAAACTGACGATTTGGACGCGACCAAAAGTCATGATCAATTTTTGAAAATGAAAAAAAAAAATTGAGACCTTGAAATACTCGAGCGCGTTAGATTATTATGCAGACGCTTCATCTTAATGTCCTTATCGTATCGACCCATAATCTAACAATTATGTAGTGGAATTACCATAATCTGACGATTGGATTTTTTGTTAACTGAATGTAATAACTGAAATATAAAATATACTGGGTGCGTCAGTTTTTCGTAGCAGGACTTCAACAGCTCGAAGAATTCACAACTTTGAGACATACAGGGTGGACCAATAGTGTGTCAAAGTGAGATAACGACTTTGCTGTTTGAGATAGATGAACAAACATTCTTGAGATGGTCTAGTCTCATGAGCAGTACATTTATGAAATATTTTGCGTTATACAGGGTTACTCAAAAATGCGTGGCGTATCAAAGTTATACTTTTTCTTATAGCATACCTTGTATTTTATTGCATTTTCGAATTCCTCCTTATGAGCTGATTGATAACAATATACGAAGTGATACTTTTTTTCAGTTTCCTACGTTACCACAATTACATACATAGTTCCCAGTGGCTGCAAGCACCACACTCAATTGATGATTTTCGCTATACTTCGGCTTGTGCAAATCAAAAATAAGAAAAAAAATTGACCGCGCTCGAGAATGCACAGATCTGACGATTTTTTTGTGCAACTTTGTGGTTCTCTCATTTCCTTATGTTACGCTAAAATCGGCAGATTATTGAAATGCACACTTTTCTGCATGTAATTAACGTACCATGTATTAATCTGACGCGCTAGAGTATTTCTGACGATCGATTTTTTTTTTTACTAATCTGATCGGCTGCCCTAAACTTTCGACACGGGAGAAATCCCCGCTTGGGCTTTCCTACTACAATGTGATCATTTCATGTATTCCAATCTGGGCGAAATTATATACTAACTCTGAAATTCATCTTAGTTTAAAATCTAATAATTGTATCGTTCAAATATATTGAGGAAACCAGTATTTCGACTGATGAGACATAGTGAAGACTCAGAGAATATATTCAAAAACGGGTGGTATATACTTACTTGCTTCTGCAAATGTGTCAGTTTACTCCTACTAAATAGGATCCCAACCACGTGCTCTCTCAAATCATTGCTCTCCTCATTGGGATCCCCACTTTCGCTCATCGAAAACGACCCCGTATGAGTATCCACACTGTTGACGTTCAGGCCATCCTCCCCCTGCAGCAATTTGCCGAACACCTGCGACGTTATGAGACGAAAGACTCTAAGAGTTTCCGCCTCGCAGTATTTCTGCTGGAGGGTACAGGCTGAATACTGTTTGCACACTCTAAGAGATTCACTTTCTATGTTGCCGAGGACTCGGATTTGGCGAACTCGTACAGAGTTGTCAGGCCCTTTGAGTTCGAGTCGAATGACACTGTTCGAAGATTCTGAAACTGAACTGGAGGTGTCAGTTATCGTAACGGATTACTTTTTCTCAGTACAAATCCCAAACGTATACGCATTTCAATTCATTCAAACTCATTGACTCCAACCGAATTCGTAGTTGATAAATCATCAAAAATACACCATTTCCTAAGTAGAATAATGTTGTTGAGATTGGATGATGTTCACAATGTATTTCTTCATGTGTCAATTGTTTTTTTTTCATTGCATAAGATAATATTCGAACTGAATAATTTCAACATGTATTTACAATTTGTATATCCAAAATAGGCAATAAGACCACTATTTTGTCTGGAATTATACCACAGTAGTAGTTACACAGTGTGGAAGTGTAACGCCCTCTGAAATGTTCATTTATCACGTATACCTATCTAAACCTTTTCATTCCGAAATGAGGAACATACCTTGTGTTTTTTGTTTCTCAAGTGAATCAATCCGCAATTATACGTACATTTTCTGGAGGCGAAAATTCAAGCAGCCCTGGAAAGCGCCTCCTTCTAAGAAAAATTAAATGGGCGTCTATCAAATTTCATGAAATAATATGTGGTCCAAAATCCTCCGCCTCACCAAAAAAAAAAAACATCAAAAATCTTCATTTTCAGTACTGCTTTCTTCATAAGAACTCACACATCATTTATTTTTCCTTTCTCTATCTCGTAGCTTACTTGATGAAAGAACAATGAAAAAAAAATTGTTCTTTGATTCTTTCACAATGAATATCAAATTTCATTATGAAATTCTCTACACGCCTTTGCAAAGAAGGCAGTCAATTCAGTGATAAATTCCTATTTTTCGTAAAAATATCAGTAATATAATTTAAATTGAAAGATTCACGCAGTATATATCGTGAGGTAGTTTTCCTGCTCTCAAATGAAAAGTGGACCACACGTAAGATAATGGTTACAAAAAATCGTCGGTGATTTTTCTGTTATTGAGAAAACTCGTATAAACTGGATACTACAACGAATTTCCCCGTTTCCCCGAACTCGGAACTATTACGACTTCACAAGTTTGTAGCGTTGTACCCCACTACGACCAAGATCAGCTAGGACCAATCTACTCATTAGTCAATAGTTAGCATACTTTTACCACTTATAAAAAATCAGGTGGGATTTCTAGTCGATCAAATCATTAAGAAATCTTAAGAGAACAGCATACAACACCGTATACACGTCTGGCAAAATAATTCTCAAGGGAAAACTATCTATTGAAGTGAATACGCTTGAAGGTTCAAGAGTATCTGATGAGAGAGATCAAACAGAAAAACAAAGCAACACAGCCAAAGCTTGCCTTCCACCTAACACACAAGTAGCTAAAATATAATATAATATAGTCTCTCTATTAGAATTGAATCTTTATGCGTATTTACTTCGGAGATGGTTTTCCTATAAGAATATTTATTTGTCAGATGTTTATGTAAATAAACAGGAGTAGCTATGAGAATAATAATGAGAGTAGTAGTCGTTTCTCTAAGTAAAAATCCATGCAGAATGAAGAAAGGCAAAGTCACCTTCACAATAATATGTTTAATGTCATGGTATATATCTTCACGAACAGGTCGTTGCAATTCGCTTTCAAGAACTATTTCAATAGCTTTGCTACAATTATTCTAAATAACTCTCATTTTGAGCTACGATAATTTCTGTTTCACCCTTGAGCCAATTTTTCATCGTTCAAGATGTTTTCAATAGTTTGATATTTTACTCTCTAAAGCTTGAACTATTCATTCTATATATGACCTCCCTAATGAAAGAACGATCGTCAAAACTAATCAGATGATTTTTTCATCTCATTTTACTATCAACATTTAATAACATTCTCCACATTATCAGGCAAGTATACACTTGCAGCCATTTTGTTTTATGTTTGCTTGATGGTTTATAAAGTTTTTGGAACTTCCATATTCACATATATTTCTCTGTTGTAAATAACAATGATATGAAAATCCAAATTCGATGTGTTGTATGAAGTATGGATTCATGCTTCAACTTTCTATGTGATCTGTTTTCGTAGTTCCTGGTCAGATATATGCCATTTTCATTTTCAGATTATCTTGTGGTCCTCAAAACATGTTATCAACTGTGTTTCATTTGTTACCTTGACATTTAACATATTTTTGTAGCAAAAAGTTACTGATCATTGAAAAAAGTCAATATCAAAGTTCATTCTATGTTTCTGAGATACCTAACATGCTGAAACGGAGATTCAAATACATAAACAACAGTATCAAACACACTAGCAAAAACAACAAGAAGCTCCCAAAAGCAAAACAATATACAAAAAACACTTAATCCACGATAAGCTTTCTTTATTGAGCCACCAGAACACCTCACCTGTTATAGGACAACTAACCCAACCTCCCAATAATCTAGTTTCAACTTCAACAGTCCTGAGTTTTATCAACTCGTCAGTATTTTGTCCCGAATAAAATGTAATCGAAGATATTTTATTCTGAAACAACACATCACTCCAGATGAACCAAAAACAAATCAAGTGGTTGAATAGGGAGTTTATAAAAGTACATAAAGAAAATAAAAGAGAGAGATTATATACCGTTTGTGTGATTTGAAACCGCAACCATTTTATATTGTATAAACTCATCTTTCAAAATATTCGACAAGTACTATCTGGCCATAATAAGACATTCGGAATATTCATAAGGGATCTATATCTACTTCAGGCATTTTTACCGAAGAAGTAGATATACATTTTTAAATCAATATCTCACATAGCTTCGTTGATTGATCCTGTATTAGAAACTGATCAAGGAATACTCAGAATACTCAGATAAGATGTGCCATCGTTGCAATCTCTACATTATGTTATCTAGTTCAACGAATTATTAATGAAACTGAACTTGAAAAATATCTAGTACTGAATCGTTCGAATATTTATATTTAACAAAATGGTGAATATATGGAGAAATTTATCGAATTAATAAGAAACAAATAAATCAACTTTAAAAAAATATTTGTGTCTTCAATTTATATTTCACGTTCCATTTATTTTTCAATTCAATTTTTGCGGAAAGAAATTAAACCAGAAGGACTTGCAACATGATGAAATAAAACTCGTTCGGAATGATATTTTGAAATTGCTATTTTTCCAAATTTGTCCACGCGTTCAAAATTAAATGGTGTATGTACTAGATTCATTTGTTAAGTAAATATGCGAATCTGCAAATTCTAATTATTATACCATTATTCTGAATTATTTCTGTAAAAAATAATATGATTTGAGAATGAAGATTGGTAAAAGTTTAAAACATCAGGATGGTTTGTGGAAAGTAGATGTGATTGAAGAAACATAGTTTGAAATATACTTACACCCAAGTCTCTGCAGTTATCAATATGTATGCAAATCAAAATAGGATGATGCCCCTGAGGACAAATGACCGTGATACTTTTCGTCTTATTTCTGTCCTCATCGCCAGACTCCCAAAATGTTTCTGTAGAATTATCTGTCAAACTCCCAACCATAGCTTGTCGACTTGAAGCTTTTATCTCGATTGTTGAGGTCAGATCTTTCAGACACTCAACAGTAGCAGTTATTTGATTCATAGCACTTTGATGGCTTTCATGCATCGAGACAGTAAAATCTTCCATTTCTTCACTCCTTGATAAAATTTTACTAATGTTGCTAAATACTTGAGAACGATGCAAAAATGAGTGATCAGCAGAAGTGAATCTTATTCCCCAACAACGAATTGCGATTTGTTGCAGAGCTGAGCCCATTGGAAGTAGTACCATAAGGTCAGCTATGGTTTGTAAAAGGGCATGGAATGTGCTAGGTAAAGGGTGGACAGCTTCACCGGCAATTGTTATATCTGAAAGTGGATGCTCGCATACGTGTAATTCCTAGAATAACATCACAGCAATTATCATAAAGAATATGAATAACTGATAGTATATGTCGTTGCAATTGAAAAAATATCTAAATTTGGCTGATAATTCGAATTTTAAATGTATCTGTCTTATGAATTTGTTCAAAGCTTCATCTTAATTAATCATAAGTATAAATGAGATTCACCATTTCATCTTCTCTTTTTGGTACCCTATTATCGTCTTCTAGTTCATTATCACTTTCTATAGGTGTCAAAGAAGTTACAAACCACCATAGTAAGTCATGTAGACACACAGGTTGGGTTACAGAACGTAACAACCAGTTCAGAGCTTGCATCGCATAGACACGACATGTTGCTTTTCTGAAAAAAAAAAAAAGTTTATGGGAGTAATAATATAATAACTAGCATTTCCAACATCAAATTGATATGATTGTTACCTCAACGCTTGCTTCATTGCGAGTTGCAATGACTCCAGATCATGTTGCTGCAACAAAAATTGTAACACTGGTCTTTGTAGTAATGCGAGTCGGTCACTGTTATCGACAGCGTTGTTTGGATCTGTTTTGGCAATCACTGCAGAAAGGTTATATTTATTTGGAATCAACTTCTGAAGTGCACTAGAAGGATTACAGAGCAAAGAAGAACCTCCCTCTGAAATAGAAGAACTCATATGAAGTAAAACGCTTTTTATCTCAGAATTCCATTTTACCATTTACTATTTCACAACTACTGTTATTTCTTTTTCTCATCATGATAATCCTTCCATCATAACCAGCTTTCGACCAAGGAATACCGTTCGTTCCCATAGATACAGATCTATGGAATCTTAGTCCTTTGTTACTGTCTGAATCGTCTGATGCAGAAACCTCAGAAAGGGGCTGGAAGTCAAGTGGTTATATATTAATGAGTTTCAGTGTAGAAAAGTTGGAGGAAAGGTTCACGGAACTCTAGGCTGTAGCTGAGCATACAATACTCAATTTCGATTTGTATACCTATGTGGAATGCAAGAGGAGAATGGGTATTCGGTTTTTTATATCTATTGGATCACACGAGAGGGAATCCCTATACCGTTACATTACCAGATAGGGGGTAGGGAGAGGAAGTAAATATTTGATGTTTTCTTCAACTCTTGATGGTTTAAGTTCTTGGGAATACAAGTTACTCTGAGAAAATAATTCAAAAGATTTGCCTATTGACAGATAGACAATTATTCAATATATCTCTATGTTGACAACAAAAGGTTATGCCGACTAAGCTTGTCTCTCGACGCTAATTCCCCACTCCTACGAAGCTGCTCGCCCCCAGCGCGACCGAATTCTTTGCCTATGCAGTGTTTTCCAATGAAAGCACGGTATAATTACCCTATACACCTATTATTATTTTATCGATATGGATATCAATTTTGAATACTTTTTCAGGGCCCAAATATCAAGAAGTACTATTAGGAATTTTGGGCCACAAAACTAAAGACGCTGAGAATGCGTAAGGACAACTCAAAACATACCTGTACCGATTTTCATCATACCAACATATAGTGTGTTTGAGAAAATATAACACAAATGATTTGAATGATTGATCGAAGAGCTGTGCTACTGAAGTTTTTTTTGGAATTACTGGCGACGGATTCGTATTGAGAATCACTTTGAAAATACCAGGTCTTCAACAACGATTGAACACCACGTGACCAAAATGTGTTTGCAACCAACACTGAACAGTTGATAAATAAATAACTGGAAATTAACAGCTGCTATCAAAATAAAACATGCATACTAAACAAAGTCAAAGCAATGTTGTAATTTCACTGAAAATTTAAACAAAGTTGAAACAGAGGTAGCACCCTGCTATAACGATTTTTTGTGGGTTCCTTCTTTCTTTCTTTCTTTCTTTCTCCCCTTCTTTCTACCCTCTTGGGCGTCGGAATTGGGCTAATTTTCTGTTGTGTCGTTTACCCATTGTTTCCATGATTTCCTATTTACTCTCAGTATCTTCTTCTCTCCCAACGACTTCTTCTTCCTGTCTCTGTTATTTGTTTCTTCGTTTTTCTATTTGGTACCATCCTCAACACGTGTCTATACCAATTCAATTGTCTTTTCGTTATTTTGTAGGTTATTGATTCCTGCTTCAGATTTTCTATTATTATTTCGTTCCTTATTCTGTCCAGCTTCGTTTATCCATCTATTTTTCTCAGGTATCTCATCTCCATTGCATTTATTTTACTCTCGTGTTTCTTTTGTACAGTCCAATTCTCACTAGCGTATAGTATGGTTGGTATAACAATTGTATTATATACTCTTAGTTTTGTTTCTTGTGTCAATTCTCTTTCTCCTAATATCTTATTCAATGAATAGTATATCTTGTTTGATTTCCTTACTCTATTGGCTAATTCCAGTTCTATTATTCCATCATCCGTGATAATACTTCCTAGATACCTATTCATTTGCATAATATACTTGTGTTGGTATAATCTTTCCTATTTATTACCATCATCTTACTCTTGTCCGTGTTGATTTCCATTTTCAATTGTTCTATTTGTTCTGTCCATATATTAATTAGTATCCTTGCATTTTTTCTTCAGTATCAGCTATCAATACAATATCGTCTGCATAAATTAAAACTTCTATTTCAATAGGCTGTAGACTGTGATATCCTATCATTGCTGTTTTGTTCGTCTCCTAGTTCTTGCCATCAATTAATTTATAACTATTATGAATAATAATGGGTTGAGGCTGTCTCCTTGCTTAATGCCTTTTTCTCCATTTTCATTGTGGGTGGTTGTGAGTTTGAAATGTGGAAGAAAAAGTATTCCTTTCACAGTTTCTTAAAATATTTCACAAACCAAAATGATTTTTTTACCTTTACCTAGAAGCACCATGATGGATTCCCACGGTGATTGCGATAACGCAAATGCTGCAATATTTTTAAAAATGATACCAGTTGATGAATTGACATCCATCCTGTTGGAAATATCCAAACCGAAGTTCATTATCATGAACTTGCTCAAGGAATTCTCTCACAATATTTTGATATCTTTCAGCATTCACTGTGTCCTGAAGAAAAAAATTGCCCTATGGTTCTTCTTCTAGAAATTGCAATCCAAGCTCCAATTTCAAGAGGATGTAGACTTGTCTCTCTGAAATGGTGAGGATTTTCTGTAGCCCAAGTTGTGGTAATTTTGACTTTTGATGTACCCTGATAAATGAAACCAGACTTCATCAGTGATAAAAGTTGAATCCAGCACATTGTTATCATTCAGGTGCTCACTAAACCAATATATCGAAGACTGGAACATTTGGCACGATAATACACTACACTGTTTTACCACTTACCAAACCGATCTTTTAAACACCTCGCCATGTTAACATCTTCAGGAGAAGATTAAAACTCAAAACCAATGACAAAATCAGATCCTCCTTTCAAAATCAGGTAGTTTCAGTTCTTGTACAGCAGTAATCTTGTAGGGATGCATATGTAGATTTTCTTTTAGTGCCTTATGACAAGTTCCTACAGAAAGACCTGAGAAAGGGGGCATATATTACATTATTTTTCATGGAAACTTCACCAACTGATTAGTTTCTTACTTGTGTTTCTTGTTACAACTTTGAGACAGGCTTATGACTTTCCACCCAACGATTCTCAATATCATGAAGAACACTTTCAGAAAGAAGTGTTGGTCTACCAGATGATGTGTTTTATTTCAAAACGCTGTATAATATGGGATATTTGCATTTGGAAATATTATCTTTATTATTCCCAAGAAACATATATGTTTATAGCAGGGAAAATTATGAAATTGTTCCCGACAGCTTTGAAGAGAATATGTCCACGTTCCAACAGGATTATGAGTACCAGTTCTGAAGAAGGCATTAATATCACCAAGAAAAAAAAACATGTTGATGATCCTGAAAGGAAAATAAGGACATGCACAATAAAAAAAAGAGGTTAATTATTGGTCTTACCTTTTCACAACAATGAAGTGAAGATGTAGTTTTGATAAAAACTGTTTTTTGCAAAGTAATTGTAAGTGAAATATTTAATAAATAAATAAATAAATAATAAAATAATAACAAGAACCATAAAAACTATCAACATACACGGGAGAAAAGACAACAAAGCGCTATACTAGGTGCTAGGGCTATGCGAAGGACGTGAACGACAGAAAGTAAACACTGGAAACTTTAGTAATGAGTGATCTAAGGTGCAAATATGACATATATATTACCTGGGTAAACATGATAATGAGAATGTATTGTTGGTTGCATACGAATATGGTCAGGTGGTGTTCAATCATTGTTGTTGACCCGGTATCTATACCGATTTTCATTATTCTGAAATACAGGGTCCACTCGAACTTTTTATAATAACAAATGTTCACTGTTCTATGGCACCCTTAGTGGAATAATTCTCCATGTAAAACAATATACTACTACCTACATATTTGTGAATACTATCTGATGACGGAGATAAAAAACAGTTGAATATGACAACAAAAGTGTTCTTTGTAAAATTTTGGAGTAGAATATGAAACACTGTTTATATACTTACCCTCTGACCGGACGAAGATGGCCCCACACCGAAATTGTCCATGAAATCATACTTTCGTAACACATCCCCATAAAAGGAAGGTTCATCTGCCAAGTTAGCCCCAAGGGCTTGCAAACACTGGAAGGAAGGAGGCGGTCCGAAAGGCCCCGAACAGTCGGGAGGTGACATGTTCTCGGAAACAGAGGGCATTATGTTTGCAGAAGACCGCCTTTGGTGAGATATATTCGGTTCTGCAGAGCTTGCCAAGTCCAACAAGAACATGGCATTGTTTTTCATTATTATGTGCGGTTCTAGACTGGTGCAAGGAGATGACAGAGATTTTGTTGACACATTTCTACGGTCGACTGATGGTTTTTGGCGAAAGTTCGATGGTTTTCCTCCTCGATCAGACTTCATATATTTTTCTCGGCAGGATTCACATAGTAAGTACCAAGAACTACCAGCTGAAACAAAAACAAGTTCCTTATCTGATTAAAGCAGGATATAGTTAATCGTATGTGTTGGCCGCGAAACAACTTTTTGGCGTGCCGAAAGAAAAGTTATCGCCGAGGCCATTTCCGGTCGAGGCAAGATGATGTTGAGGTCACCAAAAAGTTTCGCGGCCATGGTATACACATGATATTTGATGCAAATTATTGGAGTAAATAATTGAAATGACATTATGAATGAATACAAAATATTTTTACAGTTCTTGACAAAACGAAAATATGATCTGACCATATGATCTGTCACTGAATAACCTTGCTAATGTCGTTGTTTAGGAATGCCAAATTCGGAAGTGGGCTCTGGTTTGGTTGTAGTTCGCGTACTGTGTGGAAAACGCGAAGTACTCTCTTCGCGTACGATTGCACTAAAAAGTTATTTTGTAGATATTTTTTGAGATTACAATAAGATATATTCAATCCCAATTAGATGTAATACATCAAATTAATATGAGATTTTTCCAGACACTTTTGCGATGGTTCAGTAATCTTCTTCATACACATCACTAATGCGCTCCCGTGTTATTGTTCAGATGTTGACGATATTTTGAAGGGCTGTTCTTGATCTTCAGATAATAATCCATTACTATTTCGTTCATTTTTTTCAAATTCTCATGACACATAATTCAAGAACGTCGAAGAAACTCCATAAAAAGAGACACAGGTTGTATCTCTGTTTCAGAGGAAAAAGAGTACCTAACTCCCAACTAACATCAGCTCATTTTGAACAATAAAAACGATCACCTTGGAATTGGAAACAAGTTCACACGTAGAATTGATTATGATAACCAATGATTTGAATGAGAATTGATTTGCTATATGTAAATTTCGAAATTATTCATCATAATGATGAAAAGTGGAAATAATAACCTAGGGTCAAGTGAGATCCATGATCATTCAGACTCATGTTGTGTACCTCACAATGGAATAACATTTTCACACATGTCGAATGAAAAAACCTCAAGATTAATCAATGTTTTGTAACATCATTAACAGATTATGGATATATTTTTTATGGCATTGCACTAAACTTATCTCAACTTTTTCCGCGTGACTTGCACCATAAAACTACATACTATTTTCATTAAATCAAACCATGACATAATGAAAATATGTGATAAGCAGACACTTTCATATATTGTTCCTGGGGATACTAAAGACCGATTGATGATGAATCAACTTACGGATTCCTCCATCGCCACAGTTTCCAGCCCATCCGAGGCAATAACTCCCGCCGGAATTGTAACCTTTGCCTCCGGCATGTTGACCACATCCAGTGTGAATTTGGCGCATATGGTAGGTGACGGGATGCGGAAAGCTTTCCCCGCATAGCTCACATAACGTTTCTACACCAGATGATTGCAGGTAGCTGGAAATACCACCTAAATCTTCTACAAAAAAAAACATTGTCATCGATCAAGTTTCTACATGGTTCTATAAGCAAACTGTGAAGCTAATGTGGATAACAAGTATGCCCCATACCGTTGATGAAAGTATGAGCCATAAAAGCTTTTGTTTACATTAGCTGAGATCACTTCACTTGTATTGTGTTACTAATAACACTTCAAAACAATGCTAAAAACCCAGAAATGACCCAAAGAGAAGTTCCGATATTCGCCAAATCATTATCATCATATGGAGATTTGAATCACATACTTCTTGAAAAAGAAAATTCTCAGATGAATTATGAAAATATTTCTTGTTTGTTGTTTGAAATAGATTATTACATAACGAATATGGAAAGTAGTGAAACCTTCACATCTGAGTATGTTAGTGCTCTTATCACCAAGTTGTATAATGGCTACAGTACTTTGAAAGCTGTTTACTTCTGTGTGGACGTAGACATTTCACGGTTATGTTAATGTTAAAATTACTAGGAACTGTCAACTTTCAGAATTAAGTTTTGCCATTTATTATAAGAGGGTTTTTTGTCGGGGTAAACTTGACATTTCAATGACAATTTTGTTAAATACTGTCTGTAGGTTAATCGACGAGGTGGTACATTCGTTTTGCAAGAAGATTTGGAATTTTTTCTCTTGGTTAATATAAAATAAGAATAAGAGAATTTTTTTAATATACAAGGACAAATCAGTTGAACATTATTCTATCAGAGAATCTAGAAGAAAAATTGTTTGTCAGTGGCAAATGTTTGAAGAAGAGATATATTGAAAAAATATCGAATTTTAACTTGTTATTGTACTTTGTATTGGAAGATGAAACTTAAAGTACGAGTCGAAAGCTAGTGTATCGATAATCATATGTTGTTACATTGTTGGGATCCTTTCAAATTCTTAAACATAAGAATCATACGAACCTCTTTAGTATGACCAAGAATAGAGCACTGTCAGTGACGTCATGACGTAAAATGGTCGTCCATTGGACATCTGATGGAGGAACACACATACATATTTTCCATAAGGGTACATGTAACTTTCTTGCACATTTTCCACTATAATACAATACCTGGAGCATTTATTTATTGACATGTTTTTCAATTCATTCATCATGAATATTGTGAGAAAAGTGAACGAGTTCCATGAAAAGTTCAAATTGGTTTATTTTTCAATTCAAAATTACTGGATGCACTTGAGTTCAACTCTAGTAAACCTAATGTACCTCAATAGATACTTAGTTTGCATTAGCATGTACACATTTTTCTCGTATAATATCTACAAGTTCAACAAAACCACCGATTGGTCAGAAATAAAAAAATCAAAATTCACACACAGCTTTGTTTGTCACCCGATCAGCAGATTAAACGACGAGTGCGTCATGTTGTGTTGTCAGCTGACACTGCTCTAATGATGATAAGTCAAACAAATATTCAATTTATAAAATCAGTTATATTTCTTATTCTATCTCAAATTCAATAAATGATGACGAGTTCCACTTTGCGAGTTGGAGTATTTTGATATCAATCTCATAATCATTATGAATTCATGAACTATGATTTACCTAAATAGTTTCGTGAAGGTATCTTCTTTTTTCTACATTTTCTAGACTCCTTCTCAAGATGACTGTTCTTCTCCCTACTATCATTCTTATCACTCTTCTTTCCCTTATCTGGACTATCGCCACCAACTTGTTGCGTCACTAATTGAAGACAATTTGAGGTTAGTTCTTCCCATAAATACACCAATGATTTGAGCGCGGGAGGAAGTACCGAAATTGTTTGATAACCGTAGCTATCAGTGCTAGTTTCTTCCTTTATCACTCCCTCATTAACCTTCCTTCTATTTCTATTTGCACTTGCATTTGCAGCAGATCGAGTGAGAGATTCTAAAGTCGACGGTTGGATGTGTAGATAGTTGCCTGCATTGCTGACTTCAACTGAATGTCTTTGTCTTGCCTTTTCTTCTTTGGTTAGTTCTTTGTGCCTCCCCATGAGGCTGTCTTGTTGACGGGTCACCACTGGGGCACCCTGTTTGGGAAGTGTTGGGTGGAATTTTAGGAAAGATGCACAAGCCATTGCATCATGAACGATACCTAAAAGTATTGATTTATGAGCACAATTATAGAAACTGAAACTAAACAAGTTACAAGAATGAGAAATTGGATTATTTGGAGTATTAGAGATGATGACTATAAAGTATTGATGTGTATGGGATGTTGTTGCTCGAAAGGTCCCAATACTTAATTTGCTCATCTTGTATAATTTATTTGTATATTCTTATCCGACGGAAAAAATGGAAAGTACTTCCGATATCAGCAAGAAAACTTCATTGATGAAAAGATTGAAATAGAAGAAGAATCAGAACTCAACAATGGAAAGTTGTAATTGGAATAGAATGTCATTCAAAATAAATATAAAGGTTTTTCTGAAGCCGATAATTTAAAATAATGAGGAATTTGTTAAGATAATAACATATTTGATTTCATGAACTCACCTTCATGCCATAAGAAAGCAGCAAAGACAGCTCTTAAAGATTCGGCTACTGAAGGACTCATTGCTTGTTTAGCTGTTTCGGATCCATAACTGATTTTTGTACTTGCTGGCAACTGCTGCATATTAGCTGGTGAAATTGCCCTTTTAGGTCTGATTTTTGCAACGCTCCTATCTTTGCGTGACATTTTTGGGGAAAGTTTTTCTTCCTTTCCTGCAGCTCCAATGGAAAAGTTCGTTTTGATTGGAATGTTGTTGCAGTTCTCAGGTGATGTTTGAGTACCAGTTTGAGTGAGTATTTTGGGGCTCTGATCCAAATCCTGAACATCAAAGTAGTTATACTATCTTCGTAACCAACTGCTACTAAATCAATGTTATTGAATAACTCAGTTATTTGGGAATGACATAATGATTGAATCACTTTAGGAACTATATAGTTGACGTTGATTTCAAATGAAATTACAACCAAGAAATAGCCAAAGTTGTGTTGCATAATGTCTCTGAAAATGTTGAAACCTTCATCTATTCCTTATTGAATATTTATTTTTTTCTTAGATCAAGTAAAATATAGAGATTTTCATTAAATATTAGTTACATATATTTTTCAAATTATATCTCATTTTCATAGGTTAGTGACCTGTGTGTGGCACAGATAAATTATCATATGTATAAAAATCATTCTTTTCTATAGAAATACTCAAATTAAATATAAAACATTTTTTTTCTCACATTGAGTGAGTTTTCATAGTTCCATCATTCGCCTATTGCGTGGACAATACAGGGTGGCCCACTTATACTCGCTCGGACCATAGCTGCTCGGCTGATAGAGATAGAAGAAAAAAAATCATCGGAAGTTATTGGAGATTTCATAAGCTACTCTTCAAAATTATTTTCTAGTATACAGGGTGCACCATGAATCCGGGGTGAAAGAATCGATCGTTTTTTTAAATGGCACACCCTGTATATTATTTCATTTTCGGAATCTCTCTCATGTGGGCTTCACAAACCTATTTTGTTTTTGAAGATCAGATGCGACGTTGTCATGTTATCAACATTTTAATCAAATTTCACGAGAAAACATGAATGTTGAAAAATATTCAGGGAAACTATATTTTCGAAGATTTATGAACTAAACTGGGTATACAGATACTTAAAGTATGTGTAGAAACTCAGACATTATTTGGGTTCACTCAAAATATACAGGGTGTTTTAAAATAAGGACCGAATTTCGCTATTTCCGAATCGACGAAACTCATTTTTTTCAAATGGATCACCCTGTATTTTATTTCCTAATCTGAAAGCTCATTCAATGGGCTTTTCGGTGATACCATATAGACGGTATCCAATAACGTTACTCTTCGACGAAATCATACTTTCTTCAATCAAAAACATTTACGAACGTGTATTGAAAATATTTATGATTCAAAGTATTTGAATATGGATTGAATTTGAAAGAAATCCTGTTCGATGAGTGTTTGAAGTGTCTTTTTTCATTGAATATGTTTTTCGAAGTCAATCTTCGATTGTTTTATTTAGATAGCTCAATTCACGTGGATAATTATTGTTTATCACTCTTTCGAGATGAATGAAAAGCAATCACTGAAAACAGATGAACATCTTGACAGTTTCTACAACAAGATTCATCAATTACATTTCAACAGAAGTTTTAGTGACATATACAGTTGTCAGTTACTCTTCTTGGTGTAGCACATTACTGTTTGGTAATGAATTATTCAAAGGACGAATTGATTGAAATGATATACATTTTGGGTGACTGTCAAAAGAACTGTCTTTTGGCAAGTAGAGTATATGCCCAACGTTATCCTGACAGAAGACGCCCAAAAGTTGACTGCTTTTCAAATCTAGCTGATAGATTCAATAGTAGTGGTTCAGTGAATTATATGAAACATAAAAAGCGAGCTACTGTTTTGACCGAACAGAACGAGATGATGGTAATGACGGCTGTGGTTGAAAACCCGAATATAAGTAGCAGAGAATTGAGCCAATATGTATAAATTTCAAGAACTTCAGTTCAACGTATAATAATGAAACATAAATTTCATCCATTCCATATACAATTACACCAGGAACTTCTACCACAGGATTTCAATCGCAGAATAGAACATTGTAGGTGGTTAATTGAGAAGATCAACACTGACAGAAATTTTTCGAGAAAGGTTCTTCACACTGATGAGTCTACATTTATCAAGAATGGGGCGGTGAATCGTCATAACTATCATTATTATTCGGATCGAAATCCTCATTTATTCAGAACCACTTCCCAAGAAAGATGGTCTTTGAATGTTTGGGGAGGTATTATTGATGATTACGTCATCGGCCCCTACTTTTTTGATGGTGTGGTAAATGGAGTAGTAGTTTTAGATTTTCTACAAAATCATTTGGGAGCGATGCTTCAACGTGTACCACAAAATGTGTTGAATAATATGTGGTTTCAACTAGACGGTGCATCAGTACATTTTGTAGCACCAGTCCGCCAGTGGTTGAATGAGCGTTTTCAAGATATAGTTCAATCAAATGGTGCACAAAATCAGCTTGAGGTGGAAAGTTCTGGTGTAATTAATTTCAGTGGTTTATAGTATGCTTTTTGATGTGCTCAACACGAATCTTGAGTTGTCCACCAAAAATTCCATCGGCAAATATCAGAAAATACCAAAAGAGCACACAAAATTATGTTTTTTAATGAATTTCTGCTTTCAACTCGCAAAGGAAGCCGTTCACACAAAAAATTAATGAGTAGTAAAATCAAGAGGGAGAAATTATCTACAATTCATGTCTCATGATACTTTTTGGTATGTCATTTGGTTTCCATGCAAAAGAGTGTTGAAGTTTTAGTGGAATCAGTGGTTTTTGGAAAAAAATACAAAACTCAACTAATTCATAGTTTTTATTCCAAATAGATAAACATATCACTGTCAAATGAAATTCTCCTCCTAGACACAGACTCCGTGGCTCCTCCAGAGCAGCTTTTAAGTTCTTCTACGCCTGTTACAAATAATAATTGACTTAATTCAATAATTTCAATAATATATCAATTAGATATAGAAGCAATACCTATTGAGGATTTCTTCGACATTTTTATACTTACTCGACTTATTTATCGTTATTGATTATTCGTCGATAACACAAATGAATTGTGAGAGGAAAAATGAAGGTGCGAAAGAATTATTCATGTAGTTACCTTCCAGAGGATCAGAAAACTCCGAATCATCCTCTGCTTCTTCTTCAATGGCTGGCCATGTTATTGCAGCTTTTTTCACAATTTTTGGGACCCACAGTTGGTCTGACAGGTTTTCATGCACTTGTAGGATATTAGATTCAAAATTACGACTATTTCTCAAAGAATCACAATTGCTAAACAATCTGACGAAGGATTCGAAGAAGTTCTCAAAATATGAACTGTGCCCGAATCCGTTGCCTCTTTTTGATGACTATGGAATGAGAAAAGGAACCAAGTCTGCCTTGTACAAAGCATTTACACCAACTGAACAGACAAATCTCCAAGGGTGTGTGTACGTCTTAGATGGAGGATATTTGCTCCACGAGGTGGTGTGGACCAGGGGTCAATGATGTTCATCAATTTGTGGAAGTTATGTTGCATTTGTTGAGTCCAAGTACAAAGACAGTGCTGCAGTCGTATTCGATGGTTACCTTCAAGATGGTACTGAACATGCTGAGCGAACAAGAAGATCAAGCAAACAGATATCAGTTGATATCATGTTTGACGAAACGATGATCGCGACAGTGCAACAAGAAAAATTCCTTGGTAATATGAAGAACAAAATCCGTCTCATTTCAATATCAAAGAAAAAATTTTTCGGCAGCCTGGATTCACACAAATTAGGCACAAGAGGACGCAGATACACTTATTGTCACCACAGCAATGGATCTCGCACCACAGCATAATTCTGTAGTTATTGTTTGTGAAGATGTAGAATTGTTGGTGATCATGATGGGTCGTTGTCTGGGTGTACATTCGAATGTATACTTATTAAAGCCAAGTTGAGGAGCAGTTTCGGAACTCATATTTTCAACTAATTGTGCACCAGAGCATGTCTATAAGTGCAAAATACATTTCTTATATGTCATGGGAGGATGTGACACCACCTCGGCCTCGTTCAAAGTTGGAAAAATTCAATTTCCTCCAACCATCGAAAAATCCTGCTTTAATCGTAATTGTTCAAAGTTTCAAAGATCCTACGGCGAATGCTGATACTGTTATCAATGCTGGCATCACCTTTTTTACTGCAGTGTATGAAATTAACGAGAAGAAAGATACGTCCATAAACAAATTGGGGTATAAATGCTATACCTTAGGTTTGCAAATAGAACAACAGCTCATTTGGCATCCTTACCCCATACCACCGAACATGAACGTCTCTGTTTATGTTCGGTGCCCATATACGGAAGCTGCAGCATAACAGCATTCTTTGAGAGTATAATTTCAAGTGCAACAGAGGCTCGGAACCACAAAAGATCCCGAGCAATGAGGTTGGAAAAAACCAAGCCAGTACCAACGCTACAGTCACCAGCACCAGAAGCAGTTTTGAATCTAATATCCTACAAGTGCATGAAAACCTGTCAGACCAACTGTGGGTCCCAAAAATTGTGAAAATAGCTGCAATAACATGGCCAGCCATTGAAGAAGAAGCATAGGATGATTCGGAGTTGTCTGATCCTCTGGAAGGTAACTACATGAATAATTCTTTCCCACCTTTACTTTTCCTCTCACAATTCATTTGTGTTTTCGAACAATAATCAATAACGATAAATGAGTCGAGTACGTATAAATGTCGAAGAAATCCTCAATAGGTATTGCTTTTATATCTAATTGATATATTGTTGAAATTATTGAATTAAGTCAATGATAATTTGTAACAGGCGTAGAAGAACTTGGAAGCTGCCCTGGAGAAGCCACGGAGTCTGTGTCTAGAAGGAGAATTTCATTTGACAGTGACATCTATTTGGGATAAAAACTATGAATTAGTTGAATTTTTCATTTTTTTCCAAAAATCACTGATTCCACTAAAACTTCAACACTCTTTTGCATGGAAACCAGATGACATACCAAAAAGTATCATGGGACATGAATTGTAGATAATTTCTCCCTCTTGATTTTATTACTCATTGATTTTTTGTGTGAACGGCTTCCTTTGCTAGTTGAAAGCTGAAAACCATTAAAAAACATAATTTTGTGTGCTTTTTTGATATTTTCTGATATTTGCCGATGAAAGTTTTGGTGGACAACTTTAGATTCGTGTTTAGCACACCAAGAAATAAAGAATAAGCCAATGAAAACAAT